ATTTATTATATATATATATATATATATATATATATATATATAAATAATGTACAAATAATATAGATTACCATTACAAAATATTGCAAACGCATAGATATCTCACATGAATATTTGAATGACGGTTTCTCCTCGGGTTTATCCTTTTTAAGAAAAGTATTTCCAAAACCAGCAAGCATCCGTTCCTTGGCAACAGTTCGAGCAGAACTCGATCCGACTCCGGAATAACTGCTTCTACAGCTTGGCAGGTTACTTCCACCGGAAACATTTCTACTGAATGAACTAGCGATGCCGACAGCGGTTCTACTTCGATATGCTGCTGTATCAGCCTGTAATCACAAATTAAAAGTATTCATATTGCAAAACTTTTAATTATTTCAGCTGTATAATAGGAGATAGATTGTATAGTTTGATGGTTATAATATTACAAATAATTTGTAATTACCTACACTAAGTTAAAAATTAAACAATTAAACTCTCTAATTTTGGAACAATACCCTTACAGAAATTTAATTTAATATTGGCCAATATAATACTGGAAATTACTTATTTTGTATATTAAAAACTATTGTTCAGTGCTTTTGTTACTCAAATAAGTAATTAATCACTATCTTTCAATATTAAATTTCTATAAGGATAAGGAAAAGAGAGCTAATATGAGTCAGGCGCGGAAATAAATGCGTAAACGTAAAAATGTGTATCAACATTATTTACAAAAGCACCATGTACTTTTTTAAATACAATTGGTACAGGTTTTTACATTTACGCATTTATTTTCCACACCTGACTCTTATTAACTCTTTTTTCCCTATTATCGCTTTAAAAATGTTATAAAGTTATAATCTTATTATAAAAGCTTCTAGGATTTTATTTAAATGATATTTACATCTTTATATTATAATATCTAATAATAAATAAAAAATTTTGAACTTAATAAATTGTTTCAAATATACATTATTAATCTTGTTGTGATGAGAAGATTTATAAGTCACTTTTTGCATTTGCAGTAACGAGAAGGGTTGGACGTTAAGCCAATAAAACATTCGCAAGAACTAGGACCGTGGGTGTTTCAGGATATTAACGATAATAAGGATAATGCGGATAATGTGTAGTTTGCATTACTCAGATGGTGCATCTGATGAATGTCTTAATCAAGAAACTTTTTGCTTAAAATATATTTAGATATAACATTACTCCTAGCACAACATATAAATATAAACTAAATGTTATCTTAAAGTTCTTGGTAAACAATTATTAATATGTCATGATTATTATTTAAATTGGATGTATCTGTTTGAAAATCAAATATATCACATTAAAGAAATATAAAAATCTATGTAACATATTTTTTAATCTTTATAATCATATTACTTAACCATATTATTTAACAATCAAATTATTATCAACCAATTTAAATTCTTTATTAATCCTTTATTTATATTTTTAATTATTTAAATATCTATTTAAAAGCAACATAAAGATAAAAAAAGAAACTTTAAAGAAAATATTTTTGTAAAGTTTAAAATAAATTATGCTAAAACACGTTATCTGTCGATACATGAAAGCGAAAGATAATAATTTATATAATTAACATAAGTTTGGCAAAATGCCCTAATCTCAAAATAGACAGATCGACCTGGCAGGGAGTAATAACCTTTTCGTTTCTCGCTCGTACAACGGGTGACGCAAGTAAAAAT